GCATACCGTAAAAATAATTGTGCTTGTTGCTAATCGATCATTGTAAGGATTCTCTAATCGGGAGAGAGTGGTGGGTATGTGATTATTATTGTATCTTCTTCCTTTGTCTATTTTATAAAATAAACTTCACTCAAAAGTACGATTCTAATCACATACTACCTGTGGAGTAGCTAAAGTTGAAACCAGATTTCTTGCTTTGTTAATGATTGTAAATAGTAGGTTGTTGTGTTCTAGCATAAGATGAATCTCACGTTGATAAAAACGTTAGTAAACTTCATTATTTGACCAGTTTTCTAATACCAGAATTGTTGGCAAGTCGACTTCAGCATTTTGGGCAAAGAATACTGATAGAACACATGTGTCTTTAGCTATAAGGTCTGGGTTTAAGAGATGTAATATCTCTTTTATCCATCTGGAAATAGTATCAACAAATACTGGCTTATAAAGGATATGAGAGGTGTTTTTTTGATTCTGTTGGGATATTAAAGTAATCTATCCTTTCCTTCAAACAGTTTAGTATAGCAAGTGGGTATAAGAGGGGTTCATCATCATATTTTCTTATAAAGACAATTTTTAATCATTTGTTTCTTCCTTTTGCTGTTGATATCTTGGCTTCTTTCGGCATAATGCATTTAATATTAATGTCTCCTCTGAAGCGAGAGATTGATGTCATATCTAATCTGCAGAGATCTAAGGGATGAGATCCTGTGGTGATTGCTAATAGAAAGGCAGTTTTTTTATTAAGTTGAAGTATAGGCAAATTTTCATTGTTTTCCCATTTAATAATAGTGTCTAATAAAGGAACTATATCTAATACAGAGGGGTGATAAAAATATTTTCACACTTAAGGACTTGGCTTATAACTCAAAAACTTACTAATTAACTTATGTTCTTGATTTGACTATAGTAATCCTTACTCCTTGAAGATTATTCCATATTATTTTTAGATCACATGCTTGCATAATTAGCAAGTTATTTAACTTTACTTTTAGAGTTTTGATAAACTTTGTAAGTGTCTATGTTTCTGTATAAATATTTCAATAACTATTAGTCTAATTTTAATAAAATTTTACTAGTTTATAGAAAAATTTTTTCTCTACCTACTGTAAAAATTTGATCAGATTTTGATCAATAATTAGCCAAGAAATTAAAAAAAATAAAAATTTTATAGGTTAAACTTCTAAGCTAATTTTCTCAATGATTATTAACCTAAAATTAAATTTTTTTTATTTTATCTAATAGATATGCACTTTCTCTACAACATAAAAAAAAATTTGGCTAAATCTAATTGCTAGTTACAGAGATAAGTCAAATAATCTATCATAATATGTCAAATTTTATTTATCATTGTATATCTCAATTATTTTGATAACTAGTTATGAACTCGCTACTTTTTTTATTTTATTTTGTAGAAGAGATATAGTACTTTCAAATAAAAAAAGCTTGTTCGATTGTAATCACTAGAAGCCGAGATAATTGAGATTAAAGTTTGCCATTAAATTGGTAATATTATGCCATAATTTTTGTTGGCGATTGTTACAATTATCACATAACATAATTGTTAAGGCATACTTGATTCACTTACATATATTTTCTAACCTTATAGTCTTTTATTAAGCACCTTTTTATTTTTTTTTC